AGTGGCTTGCATCTTCAGAAGTGGTTTGCTTGAACGCTTACACTGTTCTCATCAGAACCCGTTCAGTTCTTCCGCAGAACTGAACGGGTTCTGATGAGAACAGTGTAAGCGTTCAAGCAAACCACTTCTGAAGATGCAAGCCACTCGTGCTTGCGAAACGTCAGGAATACATTCTACCGAACGACGGCCTAAAAACCCGAAAAACCCATTAATCAGAGAATCTTTTCAATGATAAAATCTTGCGTGCTTACTTTAGTACCCTAAAGGGGCTCAGACGACACTTTTTCACCTTTGCTTCACAGCATTGACAGTTAATTGTCCAAATTACACATAAAACACGTAAAGCAAACGTTCAATTATTGATCAATTAATTCCATTCCTTGAAACTAATGGGTTTTTCATTCCATTGGCTCGAACCTTTTCCTAAACTCACCATCAATGTCTCGGATGTATTCTGAATATGGTTGCGAGCGCAGCTTTAACCCATATTCATATGTGTCCTTACAATGAGCTCCAGCCACATAGCTTTGGCCATCTGGACAGCACTTCTTGAAGCACCTCTTCTTCTTGCACACTTCCATCCCCTTGTGGCATTCCCTTATAACGTATTTTCCACCTACATCCATATCCAGACAGTATCTGCCTGGTTGTCGCTTTTCTATCCATAAGTCCGCATCTTGGAGACTAGTGAAGGTCTCATCGGTAATTGTACGACAGTTGTGAGGTAGTCCCACCTGCACGACTTGGCTTTTGAGGAAATCCTGTGAGATCTTTTTCGTTTTTGAGCAGGAGTGGCTGTTGTTGTCGTATGCATAGTTTAGGGGGCAACATTTCGGAAAAATCTCGCCCGAGTACGGGGCCTTTGAAACTATCGAGGAATTGTTCACTTGGTAGATGGACACGTTTTTTCCATCGGAATCGATGCATTCGCCCTCAGCATCGTCTTGGAGGAAACCGTAGAAATTTGACCAAACCTGCAACCGGCGATTTTCGTCTCGCACACAGTCCAGCTGAAAGTTTCCGGTTTCCTCGACTTTGAGTTCTTCCGGGCAACATTTCGCGCTCACGCTAACTTGAAGCGACTGATGAATCGAGCCGGAGATTAACAACAAAAACACTGCAAATAGCATTGTGAATGATTCCAAGGTTTGTTGCGTTATGCGATTAGCCGCATCTCATCGGGTTTTTTCGAGCCGGAATAATTTAACGCTTGCCTAAAGCTGGACGAAGACTGAATTAAATTACCAACCTCGTGCTCCCACAATTTTTGCACCAAACAGTCGGTGTTGAATCGTTCTGGGAATTCTGACCGGAGCTACAGGTAGGGGTGCTGGCAGTTCCCTGTAACAATTAGAGAAGGTCGTCACTTTTATAAATTAATTTTAGTTGATTAAAGCGACAGCAACATTTTCATTAGCTTTATTTGTTTGCCTGTTCATTGGTTGCTTGTGTGTGTATGTCTGGGGGTTTAGTGCGTGTTGGTGGAGTGATCTCTCAACCCTACAGAATGCATTAAAAACAAATATGTAATTAGAGGCGCATGTTATTGCCATTAAAAGCTGCAGTCTACTGGTTTAAACTGGTTATTTTACTATTTTTTTGTGTTCCTGAATTTTATCCAAATATTTACATACCTAATACTCAGCTCGCTCTCACTGTGCCCAAGTTCAAACAAGCTCAAAGTGTTTCATACTAAAAATACTATCTAAAATAAATATTTTTTGCCATTCAGATAAGAATAAGAAACTGGGAGCGTCCAATTTTTATTTGACTTTCTACCGGAACCTGTCGAATTTGATCGGGAAAAACGCTTTTCATCGCAAGGAAAATTGCTCAATTCATCTTTGGATCGTGCAAATAATGCAGATAATTACTTAAGGTTTGATTTTCAAGTCAACCCAATTTGTACCTGCAGATTAATTCTAATACTTCTTCGGTTGGATGGCTGATGGTTTGGAGCGCAATTCTCTTCAAATCCACTTCTTATCTTGACTTGTAATGCTGTATGTTAGATAGTTTTGCGTTTCTAGTATGATATTTTATAATTGTTTTTATAGCTTATGCAAAGCAAAACTATGGAAAAATTGCAACAAAAATGTTTGCCAATCTATGGAAAGGAAAATCTTTTAGATAACAGTTCAACAGATTGAACTATTTACTTAACTACTTGAAAGGCTATTTCTAAAAAAGTTCGTTGCTTATCAAAAAACACAAAAAAAGGCGTGAAGAGAAAACCCGACGCATTCACAATCAAGCACCTATTTGCTAATAAATCAATGTATCTTATGTTAAAATCAAATATTTATTTTGCTTAACTCTTTATAAAATTGTGAGCTTCAATTTAATGATTTGGAGGCTTATTTACTGATTTTTCATGAAAGTACTCTGATTCTGATGATATTTTCGAGTAGGTTTAGTTTTTCAGCATTTTATTTGCAACGAAACCACGAAACAAACTTGTTTAAGCAATAAAAGATAATTAAACGGGTCGAAGGACTTTCACGGCCTTCATAATTTGGATAAATACAAAAAATATCCATTTTGCCACCCTAGAGAGCGGAAAAGTGCACCATTTTTTCCATGCCGTGAACAATTTTCATAGTTCATACGTATACGTTGAGGTCAGCAATAATCTGTGTTTTCGTTCAAACTGCTTGCCATAAACACAAAAATTAATTTTAATTTAACGTTCATAAATAATGTAAATTTTGTTCAAGGATGCATGCAATTTTAAAGTTGGAATGTAAACAGTAGAACTGTATTGCATGTTCGGACACGAATGCATTTAGAAGCATAAAAATGTATTTTGCTTACACAAACCAATGATAACGCGATGTACATTTCCGAAAATCCCATTTACTCGGAAATGTTTTACTTAGTCAACGAACAAAAAAATACGGCTTTGAAATTTGTCTTAGCAAATATTTGAATTGTAATATTAGGATATTAACGATAAGAAATTGGCAGTATACAGAGTGTTCCTTGACGGTACGAGCATATTTTATCCGAAAATGTTTTGTTATAAAAAATAAATTAGTGAATTTTAATTGTAGACCCGCCGGAGATATTTTTAATAAGCAAAAGAATCTGCCTTGCTTAAAACTGGTGAGTTTTTCATACTTTTAGGTCGTCGGGGAAAATATATTTTTACGTTTCGGCGAGTCAACAGC